GGCGATCTGCTCGTACTGGCGCCGGACCTCCTCGATGATGCTGTCCAGGTCCAGGTGCCGGTTGTTGTCCATGGACACCACCACGGACAGGTCCCGGCTGATGCTCTGCATCTGGGACAGCTCCTGGGGGCAGCCCGGGGATCAGAGGGGACAGGGAAGAGCAGCAGCAGCAGCTCCACCCCCAAACCCGCCCGGACTCCACATCCTCACCAAAACATCGCCCCGGGGGGAGGGAGGGCTCCTACCTCCTCGTAGATGCACCTCAGGAAGTTGATCTCGTCGGTCAGAGCTCCCACCTTGGCCTCCAGCTCCACTTTGGCCATGTAGGCACAGTCCACGTCCTGAGGGAGAGATCCCACCAGTGACCCACACCTTCCCCCTGTCCCGGGAAGGCGGTGGCACCCCAAGGAGATGGTGACATCCCCACGGAGCTGGGGGAACCCCAGGGAGCTGGTGACATCCCCAGGGAGCTGGTGGCACCCCCAGGGAGCTGGTGGCACCCCATTGCTCCCGTTCCCCCCTCCACTCACCTTCTTCAGTACCACGAACTCATTCTCGGCCGCCGTGCGCCGGTTGATCTCCTCCTCATACCTAGGGGGGCACAGGGCAGGGGTGGCACCCTCAGCACCCTCATTCTTCACCTCACAGGGGTCTCCTGGGCTGTTCCAGCTCCCCTGGGTGGTCCCACCCCATTAGCCCCCCCTCCCCAGGGCACTCACTTGCTCTTGAACTCCTCCACGTACTGCCGCATGTTCTGCAGCTCCGACTCCAGCTGCCCCCGCTGCCCCAGCAGGTTCTCCAGCTGCCTCCTCAGGTTCTGGATGTAGCTCTCAAAGATCACCGTCAGGTCCTTCCTGGGCCCCGACGGCCCCTGCTGCTGCAGCAGCTCCCACTTGGTGGACAGGACCTTGTTCTGCTGCTCCAGGAACCGCACCTGAACGCGACCACCAGGGCGTGTCAGACATTCCCGGCGGGATTATCCCAATTTTCCAGCCTCCTGAGAGCTCTGGGAGCCCGAGGGACTCATTCCCCAAACCCTCACCTACCGCTCATTCGGGTGCCCAGGTTGCTCAAGCGCGTGAGAAGCGTTATTAAAATTATTACTCATTAAACAATTAAACTTTGAGTCATCCTGGACTTCTCCCTTTGGGACTCGGAGGTGTCGGCGGAGGAAACCTCGTCCCAGTTTTCCACCAGGGTTGGGCTTTGCCCTCGACTTTCCAGCAGTGAAGCCAAAGAGGGTTTTCATTCCCCACCTGCCCCAGAGATCCCCTCGGGAGGGGGTTTTGCTACTCCCCCAGTCCCTACTTGAGGTGGGAACGAATCCCAGAGAGGTGTTTTTAACGCTCTGAAGTGCCCAGGGTCGGGCTTGGAGGAGAAAATCTCGCTCCAGAGCAGAGCCCAGGGGGGAGAACTCTCAGGGCAACCGAATTTACGGCGATGACTTTGCCCTGAATCGCCGGAGAAGGCCCTGCAGATGTTCCCTTTCATCCTCCACCGGCACGAAACCTCCTCTGCCGCTCGTTAAAACCCGGCTAATTACAACTTGCGGCTCTGGGAACTCCAACTCTTGTTGGGAAGCCAAAAAAAAAAAAAATAATAATAATCCCCCGTTCCACAGCCCGGGGAAGCCGCTTGAGATGCCTCCTCCTCAGGAAGGAATAAAGAAAGGAAGAAAGAAAGAAAGAAAGGAAGAAAAACTCGGCCTAGAGCCTCACCTTGTCGATGAAGGAGGCGAACTGGTTGTTGAGGGTCTTGATCTGCTCCTTCTCCTGGGTTTTCACCTGCTGGATCTGGGGGTCGATCTCCACGTGGACGGGCCGGAGCAGGCTGGGATCCACCTGCACGGGCTGGATCCCTCCGGGGAAGCCGGCGCCGCCGAAACCACCCATTCCACCGCCTATGCCGCCGCCAAAGCCCCCCATCCCTCCTCCACCGCCGCCCATGCCCCCTCCAAAGCCCCCCATGCCTCCACCCAGGCCCCCCATGC